CTATAATTAGTCGCGTTAGTTAAAATCACCTGCTAGGACTATGTCCACCTGTGTCCTAGTTTAGTTGTGTGCAGTTTAGATTAGGGTTTAGATGTGATTTATTGTCTTTTTTAGTGCTTGCTTATCTCTTATCTTAACGTAGACTAACACTACTAGGGCTGTTTAACCAGGTAGTCGTAGCGTTGCTGCTGTGAGGTCCGGCAACTGTACTAGCAGCTGTTTAGCCTTAATGTCTTTCTGTATCTAGAGCATACTCCAGAAGGGCCACCTCCTGTCCCTACATGCGGTTAGCGTAAATTTAGCCTAGTAGGCGTGTCTAGCTAGTGTTATAATAATCCTCTCTTCTTTATTCTTTTACACATAAGGTTTTTAAATAGCTAATACAGCAAAGTCTTATAGTTGCTTGTTATTTATTACGCTGTGCAGTACCTTGTGTCTCTTTCCTGCATTAAGTTAGAATATCTTAAGCGTCCTAGGCATCTTAACTAGGGTATAGCACTTAACAGTTCCTAGAGAAAGATTTGTGGGGGCCCCTACAGGGTACGCATTTAGGGACTATTACTTGGCATTTGCTGTGGTGGTGTCCTTCGCTAGCGCACCTAGCATAAACCCGCTGCCTCGTGCATGTGAATGCCTTGTGCCCTAGCTGTTGGCATTAGTAGCACTGCAATAGTCCATTTTGCGGTTTAAACAGTCTTGTATATGCAGATTCTCTGTTAATGTGGAAGTACTGTTCTTGTAGCAGCTAGGCTGCATTGCTGCCCTTAGTAACATACACTACTATTAATCTATATGCCTTTCCTAAATCCTTTCTACTTAGCTAGCTAACTTTTGCTACCTGCACCCTGTTTTCGGCCCTAAGGGCCTCTAGGGCTTCTGGTTGGATTTGTCCTTCCTCTAACAGCACCGCTAGCTGGTTGGCGTTATCTACCCTAATTAGGAAGAGCTAGTCGCGCAGTATTTTAACTTCTCTAGCTGCTGTCTTGCAGGCTGCCTCTTTAACCGCCTAGAGCTTACTTTTGTCCCTACATGTAACTCTAATTTAATTAGTGTTCCTTAGGTCCCTAACTACTGCCGCACATCGCCATTCTGCGCGCTTGTAGTTTGTCCACATCTCCTCCTTAATAGCTTGTCTAATCTTGCCTAGTTTTGCCTTCTCCCTGTCCACCTCCTTAATCCTAGATGTGTTAATTATGTAGTAGAGTGTGTCTATTATTGTTAAGAGTGCTGTGTTAGTAGAAGAGGTCTGTAGGTTACTAGGCTAGCTGCTTAGAGGCAATTATGCTATAGCAGTGTAAGATAGCAATCTACTAGGCAGCATGTAAGATCTAGCTAGAAGGGTCTTAAATTTGTCTACTATTGCTTTATTCTCTACCTTTAGTGCCTTTACCTTTTAGGTAAGTGCCCTTATTATTATCTTAATCTAGGTTGCGTGTTCTCTTTTTATCTGCTCTATTATAGCTACTATCTTATCTTAGGTCTTTTTAAGTGCTGCAAGCACTACAACTAAAGGGTCTTTTTTCTGTCTTGCTTCTACACTTCTCTTAGGTATACCTGTTCCTTTATTATGTCTTGTTCTTAGTTAGCCTTAAGTGCAGGTTAGTTGTGGGGCTCTAGGGGCCTCTTAGTTAACATTAATTACGTTGTCTATCCTGCTTCTATTACTTAAGTTTCCCTATTGTCTCCTTGTATTCTCTGCCTTAGTTGCCTTGCGCGTCCTAACGCGTGTTTAGGTTAATTGCCGCCCCTAACGCGTGTCCTCCACCTCTAATTCCATCAATTCACGACTCCTCTGGGTCCCGCGCAGTCGTCTTGTCCTCCGGTACTTATCCCCGGTTCTCTAGGAGAGAGGGGGGGGAGAGAGGTAGGGGGGGGGGTTTAGGGTTAGGTACCGGTACTTGCAACTAGCCTATCTTCATGTACAGCATCACTAAGGCAAGTCTTAACAAATAGGGTGAAGTAAAGGCAGAACGTAATTAGATAGACCTACACAGACAGAAGGGAGGTAACGCGTACAGAAGGCAACTCTTTAGACAAAAAGAAAAGTTGCTAGTGTCTGTACGCAGCAGCAGCGTCACAGTCTGGATACAAGCGATCGCGCACGAGCAGGACCACGTATCTCTGTCACATAATGCTTGTGCGCGAACCTCTGTGCGCGAACATCTAGATATCCCCCTTTTTCTCTGTACAGAGGAAAGACAAGAGTAATAGAACTAGAAACATGTTGCCCTCACCTTACCTACCTTGTACGCTGTGCACACTGTACACCACTCTTACTTTTGCTACTTAAGTGCTCATACTATAAGCAGCTAGCTGTCGGAGCCCATTCAACAATGTAAGGTATTATAGTAAGTATAAGACATTATGTAAGAAACAGGAAGGTTTAGAAGAAAATTAGTAATTAAATACTTAGCTTAGAAGTCTAAGCACTTTAGGTATAAATTAAGCCTATTTTAGGTTTAGTTAGTGTTAAGGTGGTTTGTGCTTAAGTTTATGTCTATGTTGTGTTGTGTTTGTGTCAGACATGCACTAATAATACTCTAGTACGCGTCTAATACAGTTATGTCTGGGATCCGGGGAGGATACCGTGACAACTAATATAGATAATTTAATATATGTAAAGTATAAGCAAGGCTATTTTAGTATAAACTAGCCTAGTATATTTTATAAACAGTAACTAAGCCTTAAGTTATATTTAATTATATAACGTACCCTATAGGTAAGTTACTTATACACCTAAGTTACTTCATTTTACTAAAACTACACTAAACTACATTTCTTACACTAATACCTTTCTAATAACACTACTTAAATGTGTTAAAAAATGTTAGATATAGCTTATACTTTAAGCTTTTAAATAAAATATATAATATCTTTTAACTAATATACTATAGCTATGTATAAAGTTTTTTTAAAAATAATAAATAACTAACACACTAGATAGCCTTTATAAGCTAATTATATAGCTAACTTATAAAAGCTAAATAATAATAAAAAGTAGGTAATTATTAAGTATATACTTAAGCTAAATATGTAAGAATTTTTCTCTTAGCTAGTAGCTATAGCTACGATAGCTAATTCTCTACACGCTAAGTATAATTTATGCTATGTTAGTGTAAACTAGCCTAGTATGTTTATTAAATGTTATTTAAAGCTTAAAGCAAAGTCTTAAATGTAAGTATAATTAGTAAATACCTAGCCTCCTATACAGCCTATCTTATTAAAGTTGTAGATGTTGCTATTTGTCAGATATGCGCACCTACTGTCAAGACAGGAGGAACGTTTGACAAAAGCTGCTAAATAGTACGAGCAATAAGCTCGAACAGTATGTTGCTGCAAATTGCTGCATTTTGCAGCATTTTGCAGCATGTTGCAGCAAATTGCAGCATTTTGCAGCATGTTGCAGCAAATTGCAGCATTTTACAGCATGTTGCAGCAAATTGCAGCAAATTGCAGCATGTTACAGCATTTTGCAGCAAATTGCAGCATGTTGCAAGCTGGTCGAGCATAGGGCTAGTGCGCGAGGGACTCGGATCGGCAGAACAAAAAGCCGAGCAACACGAGTAGAGCAGAAAAAGGATCGATAAACAAACACGATCAATACAAATCAATCAATCATCCATACATCACATCCAAACCCATCATTCATCTCAGGAAGCCCAGAAACAGTGGTTCAATCTGACACTATTTTAGATACTATACTTAGCAATATTATTTTTATTAAGCTAAATTAGCTTTAAAGTACTTTAGAATTTATATACAAAGCTGTTTTATAGTTATACCTTCACTTAAACTTTACTTTAACGTTTAAATAACACTAAATAAATATACTAGAATAGTTTATACTAACATAGCTTAGACTACACTTAGCGTGTAAAGAATTAGCTATATTATAGCTACTAGCTAAAAGGAAAATTCTTACGCATCTAGCTTAAGTATGTAATTAATAATTCTTTACTTTTTATTATTATCTAGCTTTTATAAGTTGGCTATAGAATTAGCTTATAAAAGTTATTTAGTATATTAGTTATTTATTTATTTTTTTAAAAAACTATATGTATAGCTTTAGTATATTACTAAAAAGTCTTATGCTTTATTTAAAAGCTTAAAGTATAAGTTATATCTAATATTTTTTAACATATTTAAGTAGTATTATTAGAAATGTATTAGTGTAAAAAGAGTAGTTTAATATCGTCTTAATAAAAGTAAGTAACTTAGGTGTGTAAGTAACTTGCTTATAGGATACGTTTAACTTCTACAAGTACTCCTCTAGCAATTAATGCAGTGCAGTTTCTCTTATCTCTATGCCTCTTTAAGCTTTACAATTACTATAGTAGCTTAAATACTTAAGATTTAGCCTCTTTAAATTACTTAGAGTGCTAAAAGTATTTACTTTTTATTCTTAGTATTGTCAGATATGCGCACCTACTGTCAATACAGGAGGAACGCTTGACGAAAGCTGCTACATAGTACGAGAAATAAGCTCGAACAGTATGTTGCTGCAAATTGCTGCATGTTGCAGCAAATTGCAGCATGTTGCAAGCTGGTCGCGCATAGGGCAAGTGCGCGAGGGACTCGGATCGGCAAAACAAAAAACCGAGCAACACGAGTAGAGCAGAAAAAGGATCGATAAATCAAGACAATCAATGATCATCCCATACATCATATCCAAACCCATCATTCATCTCAGGAAGCCTAGAAACAGTGCTTCAATCTGACAAGTATATTAAAGGTTAATTAGTAGATGCATTTCTAATTAACGTATAAGTTTCTAAAATCTTGTTAGAGAGACTGTTTACTTGTGTAGTCCGCTTGCTTATGAAGTACGTTGTTGTAAAATAATTACATAATATATTAACTGTAGTAGTCTTTGCTATTACTATACAAACTTGAAATTAGTAAACTTAGCGCTACATATTAGCTACTCTTAATTTAGCAACTAACTGGGACGTTTTGAATTCCGGCCTTATTAGATTCGCCTTCCTTAAATCTCCCCTGGAATGCCTAGTCTAGATTCTCGAACCTGTAACGGCGCAGGCGAGACAATGGATCTGAATGCGGTATGAATCCACTCAGAGGCATATGGGAGTGCGTGGGGACTTAATAACCTGGGAATATTATTGACACCTATAGGCCTCCTACAAAAGGATACTATAAAACTACTGAGCTAGCTAAGGGGAGAGTTGCAACTAAATACTTGGGGGAATAGGGGTAACAGCAGGAGCAGGGCCGAGTCAGGGTCGGGGCCGATACGGGGACTCTTCGGATAGGTTCCGGGCAACCCAAGATGGAACGATTCATGAGAATCCGTACAGAACCCCCCACTACGCTCAAGCAAGAACCTGTGTCTGTCAAACACTAGCAAGAGCGAGTGAAGAATCTTTTATAATCAACGCGGCATCGTGAGCGGCCCTGAGCGATATCAGTTGATTAAAGAGGCGCCTCTACATTTCGAGGGCCTGAACGGTGAGGGAAGGGCGGTATTTGGTAGTATTGTAATTACTGTCGCACGTGTCTCACGCGATATCATACCCATGTACTGCACTATTCACTCATTAGGCATAGCTCCTATCTCGTACAGTATATAGTCAGCTCAGAGCTCTATCAAGCTCCTCAGACCTTACAATACACTCATTCCACCTTGTTTGGATCTCGCTCCCATACATGACCACCTTAACGTGGTTCTAAACCTGGTTTATATCTAACCGCGGTTTTGTGGTATTAAGTCTAAACTAGGTTAGTCTATTAGCTTAATATAGTTTAACTGCAAAACGCATTAATAGCTTAGCAGATCTACATGTTAGATGCAGAGATACAGCTCTTAATGCCTATAGGTAACAACAAACTAGGAAACGCCTCTTTCTTGTATTACAGGCAGACTATTATACTTTAGGCAGCAGTTACTACTAATTAGTTATTACATCTATAGATTTAATCTATTTATATAGCTATTAAAACCTTAATGCAGAATATAAGTTACTTTAAGCACTTTTTTTAGAACATAATTTAACACTATAGCTTTTAAAACCTTTGCTTTTATTTATTTTAGCTATTTAGTTATCTAAAATTGTTATACATCTTAATCCTACACCTCTCTAAATGTCGCCTATACTGTTCTTAGAGTTAGAGATATCTAATTTTGCAACTGTAAACTGTAAAATAAAGCCTGTTAACTTCTATTAGGTTATCCTTACCTATAAACTAAAAAAAGGCCTAGCTCTACTATAACTAGGTTGTAAATAATAAAGCAAAGAAAAAAAGCTATATATCTGTAAGATATATTCTAGCTAGAAAAAGACACATCTTAGTAACACTATTACCTATGTTAAGGTAAAGCATTTAGTGTTATTAATGTCCTTAGAGACTTATTTTTATGTAAGCACTTAGCAGTCTATTTTGTCTATCTATACTTTTATTACTATAATAGACACTTTATAGAGTAGTTTTAACTAATAAGCCTATTATAAGGCTTTAATAAAACTACTTACTTATTATAAAGTGCCTTTTTTAGCTATTAAATAAGAGGAACTAGAGTAACTTTACTTTACTTATAACTCTGCTATTAAGGATAAGCTAATTACTGTGTAAACTATAGTTATATAATACATTATAGTAAACTATAAGCTTTATTAAAAGCAGCTGTCTACTAGCATAATAACTGCTATAAGCCCTATTTACATCTCCTTAGACCTCTAAACATTACTGCATTATTACTTAATACTTATAGTTTACGCATAATAAGTTAATTAAGACTATTAGCTTTAAAAGGCACTTCTAGGGCTTCTAGAGCTACATAATAGCTACTCTAGAAAGTAGTAAGCAGTTTTTATTATAAATACTCTTAGAAAATATAATATTACATTCTAGATTAGCTATTATATAGATAATAATATAATGTTAAATAATACCTATTTAAAAGCTTTATTAAAGTAATTAAAGTGTAAATATAACATTAGTTATAAGTTTAATTAAGCACTTATTAAGCTAATTATCTAAGTAGATTAACTTTAATACAAAGCATTATTAAGTTTATTATATTACTTATATTATTAATTTTTCTTTTTAAGCTTTTCTTCTTGCGTCTTTTTAAAAGGCTTTTATTGCTGCTTTTAAAACTACTTTTAGTGTTACTAAAGAAGCCCTTCTTACGCAGTTTTTAAGTGTTCTTACCTTTTATTATAAACAAACTAAAGTAGAGCGCTCTTATATAAAAGAATAAAGTAAATAATAAAAGTAGTAAAGTAGTAATGTAAGTATTATTTTAGTTAAAGACTTTAATAGCGTTAAAAACATCTCTATATTACATAAGCTTTATAATCTTATAGTTTAGCTCTAAAGTTCTATAATCTACTAGGGTCTTTAGAACAGAGCTATTAGTCTATGTTTTAAAATTAATAATTAGATATAATAGTCTTTTTAGTATTAAGTTATTACATAAGCCTTAAAGAAAATAGATAAGATTAAAAGCTTTATAACTAACTATAAAAACATTCTAGGCAATAATTAGCTTTAAGCTAATAATTAAGATATTCTTAAAAAAGCTACTTACTTTTTAGAGCTATTTGCATTAGCAACTCTATATATAAAGAAGAATAAGTTATTAATTATATAATTACTTAAGCTTATAAATCTCTTATTAACATAGTATAAGAAAAAAAAGGTTAGTATCTAGTTCTTTTTAATAAAGCTAAGTACTTATGTTTAGTAGAACTACTACTTCTTACTTAAGAACTATAATAAACGCATAATTTAAGCTATTAACATAGGCTAGTACATACTTAACAAATACTATAACAAAACAGAAGAGACACTTATATATGCTGCTGTAATACTACTTAATCTGTGTAAGCAAGCTGCCTACCTATACTAGAACTAGCTAGAAGAGTAGGTAAAGCTAGCTATTAAACTTACTAATATAATTTAGGTAAATAATTTTAAGCTTAATAGTAAACTAGGCTCTTCTCTAGCTCTAGATAACATACCTAGTATATTAACTAGACAGCTAGATAAGCCTATAAACGTCTTTATATTATTAAAGTAAAAGATAAAAGTAAAGACTATTAGTTTATAGCTAAATAATAACTTTAAAAGCTTTATTAATAGCCTAGCTATTAATTTAAAAAATAGAGTTACTTTTTTTAAGTAGTAGTGTTAATTTAAGTAGTGTTATAGCTATCTAAAGCTTAGCTATATAGCTATAGCTATTCTCTCTATCCCTGTAGAATTATTAGAGCTAGAACAGACCTTCTCTAGGGCCTAAAGGACCTGTTTATAGAACAGATTATAGTTATAATGCACTACTATTAAGATAATTAAGTGTATTAGTAATTAGATATAATAGAGGCACATTAAGCTAGTCTAAGACAGCAGAATAGGTCTACTAATTAATCTAAAGCTTTAAGAAACTCTCCTTAGTGTTGTAGATAAGAAAGCAGGTAGAATAGATTAGTATTAAAGTAAGTAACTACACTAACACGCTTAAATTAATGTATATTTACTTAACGCAGTTTTTAACGCAGTTTTTAACGCAGTTTAACACTATAATTAACATAGTATAGTTTAAACAATACTAATATGGTATGGTTTAGAGTGATTCTTAATGTGGTTCAACCATGATAGTCATGTATGCTCGCTCCCTTGTCGAGTCGTTTGCCACATGTCCCCTCCTCAGCTTATGCAAGAATTACAGCAACATATATCTTAAGGAAGACACGATTAGAAACAAGATAAACTCTATAAGCAGATAGCTGATAAATTATAATTGCGACGTCTAAGCATCGTCGCGTTCAGATCAAAACGCGTTCTGCTAGGGCCGTGGCGACAACGAAACATTAGAACGTTATAATGAGAGCGGTATCTAACCTAGGGATGATAACTCTATGAAGAGGTCGGGCCCTCATGCTAACAAAGGACCGCAGAGAATTTCAAAAGGCCCGCAGTGGTGCCTGCCGACGAGAGTCATCTACCCCGTCTACACAATAAACAAGGCCCCGGACTTCAAAGGCAAGCAGCAAGCCGTCGCAAGATTCTGAAGGACCTCTAGCCGGACACTCTCAATGTCAAAGAAGGCATAGGACTGCTATTGGTAAGGCAGAGAGACTTAAGCAACTAGTGGCTGTGGAATTGGCAACCTCCTCTCAAGCTAGGATTGTTCGAAAGCGCCGCCGTCTCCGCACTGGGTGTGATCACATCTGCTACCATCAGCGCCGCAATCACCACAACGCAAAATTAGCCAACCGGGTAACGAAAACCGTTTACACAAAGCCCCCCCTACCTCCTTGGCTTTATGAGATGTTTCATATAATGAGCGTCGGACTCTGTACTCACTGAGTATCTACTCGCACCTTGACATCACTCAAGTCTCAGCCTTAGTTTTACATCCACAACTAGATCTTTAGCTCTCTGCCCCCCACTACTCTATCGCATTAGCATCACTTTATAGCGCTTAGCATTTGCTCTTTTATCAATCAATTCAGTTCCTCACGATCTATGTGTGCCCCTAAGCTTTACAGAAACATTTAATAAGATCTAGAACCTTGTTAGCAACCAAAAAGGTCCGCTACCAGGGACCTTCTCATTTGACAGAGGGATTCTCGAAGCAAAGCAGAGCTGAGGTGACAGCTACAACATTCGTTAGAAGTGAAGTGAAGTGATCTGGGGCAGAAGATTGCAGTGGTGGAGAGGGAAAAGGAGGAAGCTGCAGCAGGAATTAGAAGAAGTAGGTTTGTGCGAAATCTTGAGGGCTACGTGAATTTTATGCTAACCGATGGTTGATGGGATTGGGATACTGAACTGCTAAATCGTGCGAAGTCTCGCGTGGCGAGATCGCGATGCTCCTGACATCAGGTGTCATACAATGCATTCTCCTGCTATGGTATATTCAATGGGTTGAGGCGTCGTGTATTAAGCACATCCGCACCTTTGATAGTAGAGCGTTAATGCCCCGCGTGGAAGGAAGCCATAGAGATACCGCACATGCCGCCTGCCGATTTTTCGGATATTGTCTGGGTACCTAGCAGCCATACAGTGCGTTCCCAGCAACGTAATAGCAATTATAATGCAGCTCTGCAGCGCTTCAAAGCTAGAGAAGCCTGACAGCTATCATAAGACCAAAAATCAGGACATTTGAACATGTGGCGGCGTAGATAATGCCCATAGAGGGTGGGCAGTGGACATGGGTGGATACTGGAAGTCGATGAGCGCACGGTCCCCCGCCAGCGAAAATCTCGGTAAGCGGCTGAATCAGCCATACAAATGTCGCCGTAGATATACTACTGATCGATAAGCCCGCCACGGATAAATACCCCGCGTGCCCAGAAATGTCAACATGAAACGCAATTTGACTACTCCAATTCAGGCAAGCGCCTACTTAATATGTCAACCCGTAAATTGCTCGGCCTGCATCATTGACAGTACATTTCAGAAGCTGCGTACTCAAACGTCCTGCCGTCGTTGATTGTCAAATCTCGTCTTTTTTTTTCTCCCAATTCCCGACTCCAATCCACTTGTGCGCCTCCAAATATGGCTCCCACTTTCATGAGGATGTGCACGCTCGGTTTAGCTAGCGTTTCTTCGATTCTAGCAGCGTCGTCGTGCCCAGGACTTACGGTAAGCCACGACGGGGAGCCTGTTGGGGAATTTAAGAATGTGAGCGGAAGTGAGTCTAGCGCAATTGATTGCAGCGAAGTAGGGACTCACCGCATACAGTTCAAGTATACCATTCGTATGCCAAGGGCAACCCCAATAACAGCAATGCGATTCTCTATGTAACGGATATCTATGGCGTTCCGCTTCTGCAGAACAAACTGTAAGCCTCTCTGCAGCGGAAACCTAACCGTAAGATGTAAGAAATTCTAAAGATCTCCACAGACTCGCCGATTCCATAGCCCGCGCAAACTACAATGTAATCATGCCAGACTTATTCAATGGTGATGCGGTTCCGGTGACCTCTTCCGAAGGTCCGGCACTCAACCTTACGGACTGGCGTGCGCGACATCCCACTGCTGAGATCGACCGCATCATCGGCGAGATAATCGCGTATATGCGCAATAGCCTCGGTGTGAAGAGGATCGGAGCTGTTGGGTACTGCTTCGGGGGGAAGTATGTACCGAGATTCCTTTCCGAAGGGAAAGGAATCGATGTTGGATTCATCGCGCACCCGAGTAGTCTCGAGGCAGCGGAGATTCAGGGCATAGCTGGGCCGATAAGTATTGCTGCTGGAGGTCAGTTTTCTAAATTTGCAGCAACTCTCTGCGAGATGTCGTTTGCTAACAGGGCGAGAGCAGAGTTGGACAGCGCGTTCAATGCAACAGGCCGCCGCAAAGCCGAAGATATCCTTACGAGTAAGAACTCAACGTACGAGGCCAATTTGTATTCCGGCGCACCTCACGGTTTTGGCGTGCGGGTAGATCTGAACAACAAGCGGCAGAAGTATGCAAAGGAAGCATCCTTCTTTCAAGCAATCACTTGGTTTAACACATGGCTTTGACGACGCGGGAAACTGTCAATATAAAATGAATTCAGAAGGTAAGGGACAAGGAACACTGTATTGAATGGGGATTGATTAAGAATTATTCCGTAAGCATGACGGAAGATAGTGATATTCTCCAATCAGTCTTCTCGAACTATCCCACGTTACTTGCAATCACGGGACCAATAACAACTCTGGTCTTACGTTAAATAACCTTTGAAATTGTTATAGGTCTGGCGAGGGTGCAGTTTCAGCCTCCCATATGAGGGCGTTTCTTGTAGCTGGAAGAGCTAGCTATGAAAGATACCAACAGCCGCCTGGTGTGTAGAAAGAATACGCCCGTCATACGGCCGCGATCCTCGGGAGGAAGCCGTCATCGAGTGCCTATCCATGAGTTCTGTCTACCTAGAGATCTGTTCGTAGGTAGGGTCATGAAATCTACAATCGCGAGTACTTCTGAGTTTTCCCGATGTAAGGTGCAACCCTCATCAGACTCGAAAAATAAGTAGGTTGAGAGGCCTTGCACAGTCTAGGGAGGTGTCCCTAATATACTTAGATGTGATCTTTCTTTTATATAGATACATAGGATCCATAGCATACTGGGTAGTTCTACATTATCGTACGTTTACTCACTTTACGGCGCTAACAAAACCGCCCGTCTCGGAAAATACGCTTATAAAGATTCTTCATCATCGTATTGGCTCCGATCCTTGGAATATTGGAAAGAGATGACTGAGTAGCCCTATGTAAAATGGAATTGAGAGTACGTCCATAATTTCGTGCAAAATTGAACTCAGTAACAGGGAACGTCTAGGAAGAGCAATCATGCAACGGTAACTCATAGATGTCTAGATATGAAGCACTAGGGTATCGTTGCTGCGCCTTTACTCAGGTACTGCACATGAACAAGGATTGCCAGTTGCATTCCAAAACATCCAGCAAATTGCATTGAGTGGGCGACTAGAGTTAGAGGGAGAAATATATAAGGAACCTGGCACGGACTACAACCGAAAGGGGAGGCAAAGGGAGGTGCTGCTCAGAAGGAGGACCGAGGTCGGTGAAAGAAATCATGCGTATACACTTTTTGCGAAAAGTGGGTATAACCCAAACTCTGAAACCAACTGACAATGCCAAGCGGATGGATCTTTGCGGCCTACTCTGCCAATTCTGCGTCTAGGACTTCACCGACCAGAGGAACTAAATTTTGGTTATTATTTTCCTTATTATACTGGGCTATCGAGAGAACTATACAAGTCCCCTCCACACATGAGCCCTTGGGTATTGGGAAAAAGGACACTAAAGTGCGGTTGCGGTTGATGTTCTACGCAGAGATGTCAACAATCAAGTCAATCAAGTTGGGGTGAATTGCTTGTTTAATTGACGGATCTGGCGTCTTTTGTTTAACTTAATTAACTTAATAGGCAAAATAAGGCTTAACTTGTTAACTTAATTAACTTAATTAATAGGTGTACTGTACAAAACTGGTTCCTGTAGTACAACAACGGCGTACGGCGTATGGCGTAGTGAATTAAGTGTTGTAGATCTTGTAGATTGTCTCCAGCTCTTTAGGAGAGATAGTCTCACTACGTGGACTTTGTAATCCTGTTGTAGGCTTTAAGCTAAGGCGCTTCTAGCTACAGAGACTCTAAAGGGCAGAGAGGAGGTCTGCTTTTATGCAGAGACGTCTTATCTCTAATAGATTACTAAGCTCTAAGAACATCCTCTTACAATTAGTAGCTGCTGCAGGGATGCTTAGGATTGTAAGGGTGAAGCGCGATAAGATAGGGTAGTTGTTAGCCTTCCTTATCTAATAGATAATTAGGTTGCGCGTAAACAGAGAGTCTTTAGGCATAAGTAGCTTAATTATCTAGCGCTTAAACTTGTTATAATAATAGGCTAGACAGGTGTTGTTACTTTGTAGGGCAGCTCTTATAAACTCTAACTAGCTTAAGGCTGGCCTAGTACATGCCTTCTTTAGCAGAGGCTCTAGAGTACTAACAGGAGAGGCGGCATCTTTAAACTCTAACTATAAGTGTTAAAAGCTAACGTAGCAATTGTCTAGCTAGCCTTTATATGTGTAAGGCCCTTTATAAAGCTTCTTATTATAATTAAAAGGCACTGTCTAAACCTTATCTATGTAACCTTTTGTGCGTAGGTGGAGACAGTAAGTAGTGTAATACGCTGGGGTGTCCTTTAACTTGCGCAGATAATTAATAATCTTGCTATAAGCTATGTTACAGGTAGCTTAGACATAATTCTCTAGGGTGTTAATGTTGTTAAAGTTAACATTATTATACTAAATAAGCATCTTGTTAAGCGTTGTTGTAAGCTAATTAAGCGTAGAGAGGACCTTCTAGATAGCGCCTAACGTGCCAGCTACGCCCCTGCCCTCTATGCAGGTAGTAGCTTCTTTAAAGGGCTAAAAAATCTGTTAGTACTCTGTAATTATTACTTAGTTCTTAGTAGTAAGGCTGTCTTCTTTAATAAACTAACACTTCTTAAGATTAGGCAATTAGAAGCGTTAATAAGTGCTCTAGTAATAAAACTCTATAAGCTTGTAGTTAATATAATTATTAAGAGGCATGCAGAGCTTAAGTGCGCGTGTAAAGTAATTGTAATAGCTGTTTTACTTTGTCTTTACTAGCTTAACAATCTCTAGCGTCTTAACCTTGCAATTGCCCTCTAATTAAGCGTTGTGGGTTGTCTAGCACTGTTTAAAAAGCTGTTAAGCTTGTAGAGTGCAGATAGAGGCAATAACGTTAATTAAGACGCCTAGAGGGCTAGCGCGACGCTACTTGTTAAGGAACGCCTCCTCCTTGTTAAAATGCTCCTCTGTGTTATTAAACGCTTTACAATCTTTGCTAAAGATAATTTGCTAGGCAGTAAGGTTAATTATATAGTAGGCGCAGTGTAGGTGTTAATAGTAGGCGTTAAAGTTGTATTTAATAGCTAGGGCGTTAATTGCGGAGTTGTTATTTGTAGTGTTATTAAGGATAAAGTAACCTAAGTTGCAGGCAGAGATCTTAAAGCTCTTAAGTGTAGTGTTAACAATAGTAGCAATATTAACGCCTGCATGTTAGCCTATTAATAAGGGCAGGCCTAAGACGTAATTGTAAGGTGTACTGTTATAATTAAGATAGTAGACATAGATACCTGTTAACGCCTGTTTACCGCCTGTTAACGTCTAGTTATTAAAGGAGACATAGATTGCTAATCACGCGTTACAAAGATAATTAATAACAGCAGGCACGTACAACTTGTACTCCGCGATTATATAAGCTTGTAGTGTATTGTGGGACCTCTAGAGCTCTGCCTTAGCTAGCAGGTTAGCCTGCTTTAACATAGCTTAAAAAGCAGCGCCCTTAATTACTAAAAGCGCCTAGTTATTAGCTACTACTTAGTTAAGCACTAATTATAGGAAGCGTAAGCGTGAGAAGCTCTCTGTGATAAGGTTAGCAACGCCTTAAGATACCCTAAGGCCTTTATAGTAGATGTGGGCGAGCAGGGAGGACTGCTAGGAGGTGGGCGTTGTGACGCAGGAGGTGGATTTTTAGCTATTTTTATTAACGCTGTGGCTAGCCTTACGCTTAGCAAGATAGCGTGTAATTAACGTAGTTAATAGATCTGCTTAATAGAACCTGTTAGGGTGCTTATAACAGTAGTAATAGTAGTAGAGCTAGTACAGGCGCTGCTGCTTGCGGTGCCACAGGCAATAGCTGTACTGCTAAACCTAGCTCTTTTAACTGCGCTTTGCTGTACAAGCTAGCTTGTAATAATTAGGTAGACGCGTCTAATTAATGCTATTATACGCGTTGTTATTATCTTTATCTTAGTTAGTTGTAGAGGGGGTCCCTCCTACAAAGCTTTTGTTAACGTTAAGCTTTAACAGCGCGTTAGTAGCTATATTAGTGGCGCCCTTGTTAGGGGGGGTTTGTAAAGCTGCGCTTTTAAGCCGCTAGCTAAAGACGTGAGATAGGGCACTATTTATGCCCTCTAGACAATTAGGGGACGTTATATTAATAGAGAGGGGCGTTAGTAGGGTAAGAGAGTTAGTGTAAGTTAGTAGGTTAGATAGGCGGAAGTTAAGGAATCTTAGATATACAGCGCTAAGCCCTATTAGGCAACTATTATGACTTTTATCTCTGTTAACTCTAAATTGCCTTATCCTAGATTTACTACTCCCACCTCCCACGCACTAGAGGATCCTGTATCCTATAGTAAATCTCTAGGGATCTAGGGGATTTAAGTCTGTTAATTAAGTTAATTAAGTAGGCACAATTTGCTTAATTAACTTAGTAAATTTTGCCTAGCTAATTAACTTAATTAATAGCTGTTAATTAAGTTAATTAAGTTAAGTTATTAAGTTAACTTAATTGTTGCTAACTCTACTCTTTGCTTGGACAGGAGCTTGTAATTTCCTCCTTGGAAGGCCATATCCTAGCCCATGGAGTTTGAGAGTGAGCTCCTTTGTTACTAGGGAAGGTATATAAATGCTCTGACCAATCGCTTTCAGGGTTGTAAACCAAACATTACAAAGATAGGTAGGATTGAAGTTCCTTCGCGCTTTCCTGATCTATACTTAAAGCAGCTGTGACAACCTTGCACACCCTAAACTTTACATTTATCATGCTTATAGGGCTCAAATCATCTCACGCATAAACGAGTAGTGGAGCCTCTAAAAGAACGACGTATGGTATATCCCTGGCCCACCTCCCGAGACATAATTAATGCCAGCCCAGCCAGTATACCAGAAGCCTCATTCGCAATTTGCACCACCTACATTAAATCCAACCCCACTAGCAACAGCGGCTCCCTTAAAGTCTTTCTTCATCCACCCCCTAAAAAAATTACGCCCCTCAGCAAAAGTGTGTTTAATGAGGGTCAGCCATATTCCCTGCTCCCGGGGAACATTCAACATAAGAGCACGTTTGATACCGTTGGATTTTACTTGTAAGCGTGCTGACACAGGCTACTAGCTCTGTATTTAGACAAGTTCAGCGTCTAAGTCGCGCGATAACCTTCCTATTGCAATCTTCAGATTTTAGCATAAAAGGAAAGACATACATGCCTCTTTTCGTACAAACACATTCCAGCCGCTAGCGCCCATTTTCCAGCCTTATTTCTATTAGCGTTATACTCAGAAGCATTTTGTAATACATATGCCTGACTATATCGACAATGAACTGTTGAGCACAAGGCAGACTACCCAAGCTTTGTTTTAGCTGCACCTATTCTACAAGCGTGTACGACGTTGGCCTCTTCAATTACCCCGGTTGCTTGCCTGCTAAATTCTCTATTTCCCTTGTGTGCTTTACCCCTAACATTAGAATTCCTTTGATTCTTATTCTTAAAATTGTGGTCGCTGCTGTCTTTGTCCTCGTCTAGACCAGTAATATTATAATTAACACCTTACCGGGTGGACTGTACGTATAGGGTTTCCAGCAGCATAATCCGTAGTCACCGCTTCACGATATCGAAATTCGACTAGCGAGTGCATAAAGCCATTTATGGTACTTATACCAGCGACTCACGAATAACTGAAGTCTAACATCACGTGACTTGGTAGATAATTTGCCCTGCATCACCAAATATGTCGCGTACAGCAATTAAAAGTTTTTGAACTAACGATGATGTTATCTCACAGCAGCAGAAGACCGCTGCCATCAACTTCGTAGATTTCAGCAACTGGCAGAGAGTAACATCTGTTGGCCCACAGTCTACATGATCGCTAGATCTGTAACTATTCCTACATTGCTTGTCTTAGCTCCCGAGATTGCTGCATTTGCATTTCTGAAAATTTGCTACCGCAGTCCTGAATTACACACCCTGGTCGTCGCTCTGCTGCCTAAGGCACTGTTTGAACTCCCTAGCGTTGACATATAGTTCCAGATACCTTCTTTTACTAGTGTTCCGGAGTATTGTAGCTTGTTGTGACGATCTACTCCTACTCTATGTCCCGTTAGAAAATGGCGTTGATTATCGGCTTGATGAAGAGTTAGCGTTCCGGCATGTCTGGTTTGGTGTTCTAGAGCCATTCTAATGAAACTGGGTTGTCTGGCCGGAGAAATTATTCTATGTAAATTCTAAGACTGTGGCTAGTTCATTAAATATTAAATGATCCCCCGTTGCTATTTTCAATATCTCAGTAAATCCCCTCCCCCAATCCTCTGGAACATACGCTTAAAGTCCGAGAACCGAATGAGATACTTGTAATACAAGCATAGGAATGACTTACGCACATCGTCTCCAATCCCTTGTATCCCGGAGGGACTCGTAGACGCTAGTATGTAAGCATCCGTTTCCCTATCCACGTAGATGAATTGCTGAAAATAGAAACGTAAGATCTATTGCTAAGAAGTTTTCGGCTCCACAAGGTATGACTTACCCTACATGCCTACAAACTAGTCTGTATATTGTTCGATTTTATCACTTCCTCGCTATTCTCACTATTTCCTACAGCTTCCCTCACTACCTCTTTAGTGATATAGACATTTCCTCTCCTTACTTAAGGTCGTCGCTCAACGATATTTTTGGTGTCTTAAACAAGCAGATTAGCCTTCCTTTCTAGGAAGAAGTGGGCTAGTCCTAATTAGGAATAATTACGTAACAGCTCGCTTACGCGCACAGCTGCCACAATAAACAATCTAACCAACCCAGCTTCACATCTCCTCCTGCCACGCCCACTAACCCACCTAACTAGGGCAGTGCAACCTTACTAGCTAATCCTAAACTGCTAAGAACACTATAAGTACACATCTTACTTTATTTATACATTTTAAGTTAAAATTTAATTAGAATAGCCTTTAACACTCTCTACTTACTTCTAACATAATAGATTATGTCTAATAATGCTATAATAACACTAAATAATAACTAGTTATAACTTAATAATAAGCCTTTATTACTAAAAATTAATACTAAAGTTATTATTAATTTTTAAAGTAAAAGCCTAACTAAAGGCTAAAACCTTTTAGCTAAAAAAGCTAGTGCTAATAGTAATAGTAAGTTTTACTTTATATATGTTATAATTTAAAGCTAATTAAAAAAAATAAAAGCGCTAGATAATAATAAACCTACTTTATTAAATAACATATTATTAGAACTTACTTTTTTGCCTTTTATACTTAATACATCCTAACTAGAAGACACGCAGTTTTGCCTAAGTCTAATAGCATTATAGGTAGAACTAAACTAGACAGTGCCTGCCTACGCTTTTAGCTAGACTAGACTATACAGCTTATAGAGCAGCTAAGATTAAAGCTAGTAATAGTATAGTAAAAGTATAAGTAAATCTAAATTAATTTAGATTAATATAACTTAAAAAAAAATTAAACTAATAATATTTTTTTATAGCCTACTTTTACTTATATCTAACTTATATTTAGCTATAAAGAATATTAGTAGTAATTTGCCTGTTAGCTAAGTTATAGACTATATCTGCTACTGCAAGGTCTATATCTACAGGCCTAGGGTTAATATCTGCAGGCTTAGGGTCTGTACTAGAACACCTAGTAGCCTTAACATAAAGCACTTTTGTTTACTTTAGGTAGACTGTACCCTTTCTAGCAGCAGTTTATGCCACTATATTCCTAGTATAGACATTATAGATATAGCATAGGTTAGGCTTTACTTACTCTAACCCTAATTATTTTACTTTATTAGATAGATCTAGCTAAAGCTAGGTTAAAGCTAACTAAAAGTAAAAAAAAAAAAAAAAAATTATACTTTAGCTTAAACTTTTAAGTAGTAAATCTAAGTAGTTTAACTTTTTTATAAAAAATACTAATTTATATAAAATTATTAATTTAAAGCTGCTATATAAAAAAGTCTAGACTACTATAAAGATAATAAAACTCTCTAGGCGCCTAATAGACCCTAAGTTTATAAAAAATTTAAACATAAAAATTATAATAGCTTATTTAAAGTTAGTTAAAATGCAAATAAATTAAATTATTATAGTGTATATATAAGTTAATTTTTTTTAGAATAGCTTTAACTTAGTTTTAATTAAAGTTACACGCCCTAAAGCAGCTAAGGCACTAGTAGCCTTTATAGTAAGTTAGATCTTATAAGATT